ACATATGTTTCATATGTTTGTTGTTGTTTGATTTATCATCTACGGGTTTATGTCGAATTAATTTGATGGCCTGCTCCCAGTTGGCTTGTTAGCTCAATTGGTAGAGCGCTGCACTAGTATCGCAGAGGTCAGTGGTTCGAATCCCGTACAGGCCTGAAATTTTTTTCAGGTCTGATTTTCACTATTGCTCAAATAGTGCTATACTGCGAAGGATCGTGCATATATACGAGATATCTATTGTTTACTTCCACCAGCATGGTGGCCGAGGTAACGTGCGAACCACCTACTTCGATCTCAAATTTACCGCCACAAACAAAGGCAGTTTCCATTGGAGGAAGGAAATACAAATCTCAAAAATTCTTGTATTGCGATGAAGACATAAAACAATTTTGAGGAATGCGCCCGCTGTTCACTGCTTTGGAGTAGCTGTGGCTCAAGCTGACTTGATTCTAAGAGTTCTACATCACACGACGGTTGATTGACAAATGGTCCAGTGGGACCTAAGGCTCTTTTTATAGCGCGCCTTCGTGTTTAATACGTATCTTGCTCCTGTTAAGAATATATCTTTACCTCTTTTCGGATCTTCTCTAAGCACAAGCTCAAGTTTGGTATTGGCGTTCAGCAAGTCGTAAATCTTCTCTTGATAGATCTGAAGGTAAGACATGCAGACCTGAAAAGAAACAGTTGAAACTCACAATGAAAACTGGCAGACAAGCTCCAACCTTAAACCCACACTGTCACGTAAGAGGAACCAAATTCGCTGCTCTCCCCATTCCCTCTCAAGATATGTCTCCCTCTGGTGTACAAAGCGCAAAGTTTTCCCGATCCGGCCACCTGTAAACGGAGACTTCAAGAGGGGAAGAAGAAAACTTATGAAGTCTAAACGTGACTGAAAGGCCATTTAAAGTGGCTTAAACAGACTGAACCGTATGAAAAATAACTGCAAAATTCTTGATGACTGTTGCGTGCAATGTATGATGATTTCTCCATTTTCAAACATCAACTTTCACATCTGGCTCACTCTTACCTCTAAAGTGAAGTGAACTATGTCATTTAAACCATATAGCAATTTCTTTAGATGCCGCTTGGACCTGAGAAATTCTGACCCACAAACCCCCACCCCCCTCCCATTTGCTCTTACTCAAGTATGTACTCGAATCACGTGGCCCATGCATACAGCCCGGAGCTTTTCAGGGACCATTCCATTGCAAGGTTTAACTACCAGTATTTCATTAGGGTTCCTTGACAATTTGCTGGTATAGCCATTTACACTCCTGGGCTGGGTTGTTAATGTGATTTCTGATTTGGGATCTGAGAACTTTGAAAGATAATTCAGTACAGTCATGATGTTTGCCTACAATTTGACGACTGGTTGCCTTCGACGGACCAGAGAAAATTATCCAAGAAAGGCTTTGAACAAAGGGCCAACGAATCCCGGATTAAAATTTAACTCTGGATCAGCGCTAATGAGCCGTCGAACAGCTGGGCCATGGGTGGAGAGGAGAGGCACTTCAAGAGTAAAGAAGAGGGCATTGGGGTCTATCAATAACCGCAAAACCGTAGAAAAAATGACCCAAAACCGCAAAAATGCAAAAACCATTCGATCAAAATCGAAAACTGCATGCAAAGCGGTCGAAACCGATAAATTTTTACATCCCAGTTATCAAAACCCTAAACGGTCTGATACAGAGGTGACAAGTGCAGCATACTGAGGTTTCGCGGCAATTCGAGATCAGTGGAGGCGCATAATTGCTGCACAGATCGAAGAGAAACCGGCTGAACCTAAAACCCGTTACTATTTTTGACGAAAATCGAAAACAAAATGATAAAAAACGGAAAATCCGCAAACCGCAATGAACACCAAAACCGAAAAACCGAAGTTCTTGGCATAAAAACCGAAAAATCGATCTAAGAAATAGCCAAAACCGTAAATCCCAAAGCCCCCCTCAGTAAAGTGTTTGCTCAAGAAGGCACTAGAATCCAACGCTCTAAATATTAGGTAACCACGCCTCCCTACTCTTTTCCTCCCGCCCTAAAAGTATTGAGATTATTTACCTTATATTTGTGATACTTGTCTAAATGGATCCTTTTAAATAACTTTTCTGCCACTAGTGCACAAATGCCATCTTTTGACATCAGGGTGTGGGTCTTGCCTACAATTAAAAATAGTTCTTAGTTATTGATAATTTTTTAAGATAGCTCTACGAGCGAATAAAGTCAGCAGGACCTTCTCGAATCAGGTCCCATGTAATCACCAGACAATATTCCACTGACCTGTTCCAGTCTGGCCATATGCCATGAGGGTGCCATTAAAGCCTGAAAACACAGCATCAAGCAGTGGTCTGCCAACTGTGCTGAATACCTGTAAATGTACATTAAGAACTTGTAATTACTAACTGAAGGTTTGAAGGTAAGAAGGCAGGAACGATGAGCTGCTTCCCTTCCCACCAGTCTCACCCCCTACCCTAGCCACTTCCGTCTCGGGTTAAAGTCCCTTTCCAACCTTCCAAAGGTGCCTGATCACAGGGTAGTCTGGAGGGGCCTACACTCCCCCATCTAAGGTGTATCTCAAAGGCATTTCCACATCCGTGATTTGATTTATGGTTAAATAAAAGAACAATCCATTCAACATGGCCATGCATACCTCTCTATTGCTTGTCTGCCCGGGGAAGATGCGATCAAATCTGTATCTTCTCTCCCTTGCATCATTCAATGAAACCTGCAAAGAATAATCTCTCCACTCAGATGATATCTTTAGGAAACATTTTCTGTCACAAACTCAAGTTACAAATGAATTTAAAAAAAAAATAAAGGCAGATCAGATTTTGTTGGGGACCAGGGACGGCGCAGTGGTGAGAGCACTCTCCTCCCACCACTGTGGCCCGGGTTCGATTCCCGGACCTGGTTTCACATGTGGGTTGAGTCTGTTGTTGGTTCTCATCCTTGCTCCGAGGGTTTTTCTCTGGGTCCTCCGGTTTTCCTCCCTTGGCAAAAATCAACATTCCAAATTCCAATTCGATCTGGAAACAGTGGACAAGAAGAGTCACCCAGTGGAATGTCCATGGCTAAATTATTATTTATTATTTGTTTATTTATTATTTATTTATTTATCATTTATTTATTATTCATCATTAGAGACACAATTTGACTCCAAATCATGATCAGTACAGTGGTTTGGTTGCCAAGAATATCAGTTTTTTTAACAGAGAAGCTGTTGTAGTGGCCATCATGTAGCATAATTGGATTGAATCATGTCGTATGCACAAATACTGTCAAATCACATAGACATTACATGCTCTGGTCATCAATCATTTCCAATTTGAAAATGGTCATGAACAATACATTTATGTGAGCTGGATATGCCCACACTCCAAGACCACATTTTCCTGCACCAAATATTCAACTTTCACATATAAATTTAAGCTATGTAACTTTGTAACAAACCAAAAAAACATAGAAAAAGAACTCATGCCAGCTGTCTGCCTATGAAGAAGATTTTAGTAGGTGTTTTGTGTGCAGGGCTCTCTTTGAAGAAGTCATGAAATACAACATGATGCAACAGATGAATTGACGTACATGGCTTGTCTCATTTATGGGAGGGGGGGTAAAATCAAATGGCATTAAACTTAATCATAAAAGACAAAAAGCCAAGTTTTTTTAATAGTTTGTTATTGACCCTCTGTTTTGTGATCTGCACTTCATCACAGATAAACAAATGTTTCTAATAAACTCCCCACAGAGCATGAACCATGTGAATTAAATTAACCCTATTCATAAAAAAATATCTGTTTGTGAAATTTGTTTGGGTTATAGCTGTTCTTTGAAAATTGTACATTTTGTTTACTTGAACGATGAAATAAGTAATTGTTAACCACTGAAAAAGTAGCTTAAGAAAATAATTTTGTGTTTCTTTGTTGCATATTAAAATAATCTTAATCTGAAATCTAAATTTTTCAGACCATGCATGTGATACAATTGCTTTTTTAGATAAATAATTATACTTGTGAATATTTTGGTAAAGTTCTTATAAATGTCGACACGTGTCTACAGCAAAATAACTACTTTTATTTTTAGAATATCCCAGCAAAGAAAGGGTTTGTTAATTGTATTTCTGTGGTTTCAAGATATATAACAAACACTTCATTCTTTGAATTTTTTGGGTTTCTGTATAGATTTATATTTATCACAAAACATGAATGAGGACTTTAATAAATATAAATGCATTCATGTTTCACTCCACATTTCTAGTTATGCCCATCTTCCATCATAAGGAGCCCCTAAACTTTCTTGTTCCATATCATTTCTACTTAGCAATAAATAAAAAATAAGAAGCCCACTTTATAATAATCACCTGTTACGATGGCCCTTTTGGAAATGCGCGCGGTTGTAAGTCTTATTTGAGATTTAATTATTATCTCCAAGATAAAATCTTTTAATGGATTTCTGAATGAATTCACCGTGTAATTACTTACATACTATTAAATATAATTACGAGGTCTTAATTAAACTAAAAAATAGTAAATAGTAGCTTACAACAAACAAGTTTAACTTGAATTCGCCTACGCTATCTAATATCAATATCGTTATATCGTATCAAGTACTTTACTAGTCTTTTCATAACAATCTCTTGTAACTGATATTGTTACTGAACCTCACACAGAAAAACGCAATGTGCATTTGTTGTTGAAGCGAAAGAATAAACGCATTGGACCAAAACAAAGAACTTTCTTTGTCATTAACATTTCGAAAATGAATTTTCCAGAAGAATCATTCAGGCCACTAAGAAGAGCACTGATAAATATCGTATATCAACTATCAAATATTACAGACGTCATTAAATTCTGCAAGGAAATCCAATATTTAATTTGAACAGAGAGCAAATGAATCGTGACCACAAAATTCATTTGAACTTTAGAAAATTTAACTGTACTTTCGAATACACATTACTAACTCACCTCGAAGTTATCGGATTCAACACCAGGATCTTCTCGTCTCCGCACTTCCTCAGAATTTCTGGGTCGCACTCGAACGTAGACACGAATCCTGTCCGATTCTATAATAAAAAGCAAACATAACATTTTCAAAATTGGTCACCCATGGAAAATGTCGAGTGACGTGCGGTCACGAACGTCCAGGTGGTCTGGCGAAGCAAGGTTTCAATTTCGAATTATTTATTGCGCGGTAATGTCCATCGCTTTAGAACCTCCGTAAAACATACAGGAAACGTTTCTTTGACGTGACATTCTAAACCCCAAAGTTAAGACTAGAAAGAATGCTCTAAATTGCCAAACAAATGAACATTAACACACAATAGTACTGTGAAACGTTCAACAAGTTCCTCTCGAACTCACCGCCTTCTCTTGTGCGTAACGACTTCTTATCTTTCATCTTCGTTTGGATAAACAGAAATTACACCTAGGATTTCCACAGCATAAGTCCATAAAGATTGGATTATAATAAGATCCACTCCAACGACAAGATCTCGTGTCCATCGCGTCAAAAGACTTCCGCGCGGCATGTAACCTTACTTAATTTTAGCCACTTCCATAAAAGATCGCTAATTTATCACACGTGACGAAATCAGATCATAATAGATCCACCGGACCATGAAATTTATTCTAATATTTGAGTTCGCCTTGAAAAAAAAAATGTCAAGATCCTCTCAAGATTTGGCCCTGAGCTAAAGTACATTTAGTCTCCAAGTCACATATTTGCAATCGTAATATAATCAATTACACCCTATAAGAAAAACAAGACTAAACAAAAACAAACGGGGTAAACAAACAAACCGCCTTTTCCTGACAAAGTACAAAGGAAACATTTTACTTCGCTTTATAATACACAAGCCCTTGCTTTAAAAAGAAAGTATACAGGCTAAGCCACCTCGAATATTCTCGGTCTAAAGAAAAAAAAAAAAAAATCAAAGAAAAGATTGGCGCCAAGAAGGCGAAGTTGTCAAGTACTTGGCATTATTGATAAAAGTTTTTTGTATATATATTTTTAAAGCTCTTCCGTTTTGAAAGATGACCGAGTTTTCAGAGAACCCGCGCCTACGAGCATTGAAATATCAAAAGAGAAAACTAAAAAATGAGAAATTGATGCCTAAACGAGCGAACTTCATAACAAGTTATTTAACCCTAGATCATGTCGGCTCGATAAGATAAAAATGTTTCAGATATTTTGAAACCAACCAAACAAAAAGAAATTCAAGGCCTATACGACAATATAGGCACATAAGTTGGTTTCGCTATGCAGATAAATATTCGTTGCGTGACTTAACTAAGAAAGAATACATCTGGACACGATTAACTTGCGTGACAGTACAGTCCACGCTCTCCATCCGAGGGTACGTATTGTCACGACAATTTTGTCTGATTATCCCGACTTCCTACAAGCGAGTCATTTAAGAGCACACTAGCCGGTTAAGTAAGCGACCCAGAAAATGCATGTGATTATAGAGATCAAAGCTAGAGGTTTTTTCTCGCACCATTACATTTAAAAACCCGTCCAAACTCGAAGATCTAGATCTCATTATCATTGTATCATGAAAAGACCTATTGTAAATCGAAAGTCGATGGTGCCTTTTCTTTCGCCCTGACGGAAAAAACAATAGATATCCCTGTTAAGAAGAGAAAAATGGCTTAGGACCTCATAACCCAGAAAATCAATTAAACGACGACAATAGCCCATTTCCGAATTACCGTTGGCCTCTTTTTCAAAACTAGGCCTAGTGCTCAACCATTCTTGTGAAAATGAGTTTAATTTTCATGTGAATGAAAACTTATTATCATATGAAAGGATGAGCGCCAGGACTCGTTTTGAAAATGAGGCCAAGGGTAATTCGGAAATAGGCTATTGCAATCCTCCCAGAGAGTTTGGCCTTACCATGAACAATTTGTTATGGTGAACACACTGGTTCTTGAGACCTGTAAATATCTCCTTCGGCTGTTGAATCGTAATGTTTTGACCCTTCAGCTTTGTATATTTTTAACTTGTTTTTATTTATACATTTTACATCATCCTACTTTTATGTTATCTAATTTATTTTAGGCAGGTCCACATCAGCTTTTTGCTGCCATTGTATTAACTTAACCTGCTTCACCAAATGTATGTATGTATGTATGTATGTATGTATGTATGTATGTATGTATGTATGTATGTATGTATGTATGCACTTTAGCACAACAACCTGAACATGAAGACTTGAATGAAAAGTTAATGAAATGAATAACTGATAGCGCATCAAAACAACTGATAACCCGTCTAGATCGGGCGCATCAAAACAACTGATAACCCGTCTAGATCGGGACACTTTCGACTCAGTAGGGTAGCAATATTTCAGTTATTTTATTTTGAAGTTTATCAATGAAGAAGTTATCTAGGGCCTATACGATAATCAAGAAGTATAAGTTTGCTTCGCTATGCAAAGAAATCTTCTTTGCGTGACTGAAATAGGAAACGACGCACTCGTTGATACAATTAACTCGCGTGACACAATAGTGCATGCTCTCCGGAAATTTGTCTGATACTGCGACTGCTTTCAGGCAGGTCTTTGAAGAGCACAGTAAGTGACCCACAAAAGCTGTGTGATCATAAAGATAAAAGCTAGCGGTTTTTTTTTTTTTTGCACTGCTGTATCTGAAATCCGTCCCAAACTCAAAGAACTAGAACTCGAACGAAATATATATAAAAAAGAAAAAAACATTTCTTTTAGAGGCTGTTGATGAAAAAGCCGTTTGATAGCAGGCCTCAAAACTCCATAAAATCAATAAAAAGGCAAAACGTTTTGTTTTTAATTTCTTTGATTCTATGGCATCGAGGGGCCGGCCTGACACACCGACGAGGGTGGCGAAATTCAATAAACGAAACGAGCACACCTTACTTTCAACTCTTCAGAGAATATAAATTTTTATTCTCTTGCAACTCTCTAAAACATTTTGTAACACGAAAGGGATCGGAAAACGATGATAGAAACTGCTTTGGTTCACAATCAGGAAAACGGTGCAAATTTTTTTGTCTTTGGGGAGCCCAAGATAATACCTTAATCACAGAGCTTAGGGGTACCTCTTAATTTCTAGTGCGCTCGCCGATTCAAGTAATCGTCCCGGAGAGTTTGGCCTGAATAAGGACAAGAGTAAAACAAACTGGTTCTTGGGACCTGTCAATAGCTCTTTAATCTGGATAATTGAATTTAAATGTTTTGACTTATCAGCTTAAGGGACAACAACACTCAACACTCAACACTCAACTGGGGAATAAGAATTATTTACGGCACAAGGACGTAGCCAGATATTACTGACCCAAAAATTTATCAGAAAATGGAGCTTCCTAGATCGAGAACATGTCACAGCTGGAAATAAAAAACGGAGAAAAAAAATTGTTTTATGTTTTATTTAGGATCGCTTTATTAAAAAATGGTGAATAAACATCCAAGGGAAACTTAATAAAAACAGCGTTAGAAGGAGGGATGTAATTATAGAGCACAATACCTTCGTATAATAAACAAGCATAAGTTAGCAGGTGACTGAAAAATGAAATTAATTTTTTCCGTCTGAGGGCTCAGATTTCAATAGGGACCTGAGCCGGTCAAGGCGGCAAAGCCAAGGAAGACTTAAAAAATGAAAATGTGTTTGCCGCCTCATACAGCGCCACACCTAAACTTCAGTGTAATGTATGAAAGAAGCGTTGAGTTCCCAAATGGAAATTAAAATAATTTGCCGATGCGGTTTCCATTCGCAGACGACGCAACTGGTTTTGGTGATTTCTTTGTTGTTTTGCATAGAACGGCCAAGAAATGCACCTGCTGAACTATTTTTCTGGCAATTTGATCTTTTGTTTTTCCACGTCCTCGTTGCCGTCGTCGTCGATGTTTGTTTAAGATCCCTGATATTTCGTTTAACCTTTTAGCCTAGCTTGCATAGTGGAGGAAAAGGCAGAGGTCGTGAGGCGAAAAAACCCCTTATCTAAAACATCTCAAATCATTTAGCGCGAGAAGGAATCGAAAAACATCGAAGGTAAGTGCCCGCACACTTTTGCAGTCAATCTGATTAGCACTGTGCAGTTTATTTGGTCGTTCGTGCGAAAACGAAGGCAGGTGATTCAGTTTATCAAATATCGATACTTTTGCACACTTACCATTGAGCCGAATCCGTCAAAATGATAATTTCTTTATTCTATATTTTTTTTAGCTTTACGGTGATATATAGTTTTCAAGGGTTTTATCAAAAGCAGCGTACGTGCAACGATTTTCCAGTACACACCCCTGAAGACCTGCAGTAACAAACAATTGAAAAATATTAAAAAAAAAAAAAGCAATGTGAAAAGATTGATACAATGCATGAGCATACAGCACAATGCCTTTCCCACGTCACTAATTAAAACCGACTTCTATGAGCAGGTGTGAATTGACGGGTGACTCAAATACAAATTAAATTAATTTTTCCGTCTCTCTTCACCTGTTAGCTTAGCTTGCATAGTTCCATCTTGCTTCTCTGTTCTTCTTCTTTTGAAGTGATTATGCATTTATCGGTACTTACCCTTGTGTGTACAGTTGTTTATGGCGTAAGCCGCCTTTCAATGCCGGATCTGAAAGGTGTTAACTTCGCTAAAATGATAACAGGGCGAAAGCTGAACGGAAGTTTGATAAGAGAAGTAGAAGTGGATTCGGAGAGCGCTTGTCAATTTGAATGCCTGGAAGAAGAGAGATGTCTCTCCTACAACTTTGGAACTACAAAGAGCAACCCTGAGGTGTTCAAATGTCAACTGAGCGACTCTGATCGATTTGTTGGAGTTGTCAACTTCATTGAAGAGAAAGATTTTACTTACGGCGGTGTACAGGTTAACTCATCTAACCATTTACGTAGTTTAATTTACTTCACGAATTCTCTATTTCATGTTGCATTTTAAGCATCTTCTAAACCG